CAGTGTCTTATGCCAATGATACGGCTCGTATGGGCAACGATATTCAGGCGGGAGTAGAGCTTCGTCACGTTTGTATGCCATAACTTTGTTCTCGGTTCACGATGAAGGGCATGACACACTCCGTGAGGCAACTTTGCCACTCTGTGCATGTTATCGCTCAAACGAGGTGTGTCCTCTTGGATTTTGTAATATATGCCTTGTAACAGCTGTTTCTAGAAAGGATCACTGATTTCCCTCGTGACATTTTGTAAAACGGAGTTTAGTTATTGCTGCCATACATTCAGAATTGCTATGCCCTCATTCCATAAAACAAAGTGAAAGGTGAAGCAGGTGGTAATCAGAACTCTCATAAAAATGGGAAAGCAATAAACGACTGATTGAACGTAGCCTCAGTTTCCTTAAGTCGATGAGGATGGAAGTTCGAAATATTTTCTATTCTTACATGTTGCTGTTTCGGCCATCACAGCTTTAATCGTCTGTAGTGGCATTTCGGACCGCTGTCTTCCATCTCTCTCGATGGTGCGCGACATCCACTATTAAGTTCAGCAAATTTTTCTACTTGCATGCACTGCTGGCTGCCAACAACCCTCAATATCAGCTCTGACAATGTCCCACTTGATATTAATTCCTTTGCCTTTCGTTCCGGTGCCATTCAGGGATCGAGGCGGTAGCGTAGTGGAGACGACGTCGTCTGATGGACCGCTAAATACATGCTTCAGACAATACAGTCCCTGTTTTCTCAGGACAGCAGAGTGCTGGTGTTGTTGCAGCAGGTATGGATTGTAGTGATGGATATATAGTCGTCTTTAGACTGAACATTGGGAAGGAAGGAGGAGCGACGGTAAATCAAAACGGCGACTTCCTCACCAAGAGTCACATACAAAAGGATAGATTTGTGATGATCCGGGATCGCCTGAGAAAATATTTTCCTTTTTCCTGTGTCATTCTTTATTTGTCTAACCTTTATTGTCACGAAACATAATGAACAAACTTTATCTTGTCTTTCTTCTTCGTCTCTCATTTTTTACTTTCCTCTTCTTTTTTTTCTTTCCTCCTATTTCCTCCTTCTTCGTTACTTGTTCTCACGTTTCATGCGCTTTCATGCTGTTCCTCTTCCTTTCATTTTTGCTTATCATCATTAAATTCTTCTTCCATTCTCCTTCTCGTTCTTCTCTGATATCACACTTGAAGGGTCCCAATAGAGCGGCTCCTTAGCATTTTAATAATTTAATTTTTACACGCATAAAACCCATCCAGTAAAAGGTATTAACATTTCATTTCACTTGCTACGTCGTTCCTGCAAAGTTCTCAAAACCTTTATCGAACTTTTTTAGAAGACGCAGCCATAAATAATTCCTGATGAGTTTCTATGGACATAAATTCTTAATATTAAAACTTATAAATGCTGTCTAAGATGTTGTCAAGGCGTTGTATCCAAGAGCATTTACAGAAGGAACCAAAATATTCAATCTGTTTAAGAAACTGTCATTACTAAACAGCGACCGATACCTGTGAGTTGAGTCAAGAACCTAAGTAAGTGCTAAATAGCTCTTTTATTACATTTTACTACGAAATAACAATCAGAGCATTCAGTGTGGTGCATAAGATTTTAAAATATCAGTTCTTATTTATGGTTAACGATACAACAGCAACGTTTCACCCTTTGATAAAAACCGTGAGTCATAAAGGCATCCCGTAAACCCGGTTCGCTTTGCTGGGGCGAATGTTAAGAACGCTACAAAAATATTGACTCCATCTCATATAAATAGCACGAAGTTAGTTTGGGTTCAACGCATATTTCATAACACGAAGCCCCGACAGGGATCTTCAAATTTAATCGCCCACTGCAACTACTTTTAGTTTACATTAATACCGCAGTAGAGAATGGCGTCGGGAGCAACTTCACAAGTTTTATACGGCAGAGGTTGCCCTCCCATCCAATTTCACATAGTCACCTAGGCAACCGTTTGACCTAATCATGGCTCCATGAAGTTGGGGCACCTGCAGTGCATGGACATCATACCGCACCACTGGGTTTGAGCAGAATACCACTTGTTCACAAAATTTACCTCCAGGCTGATACCAGAAATCTCACGTCAAAGGAATACAAGATAACTTAGCTACAACTGCTTCAAGGAAGTCTATAACAGGCGAATCAACAGATAATCACAAGAAAATTGTTAATACCCGACGACAGGTCGGCAATGCCATAACGCAGGATTAATAAGCTTGCTTAATTACGCATTTCTTATGGTAATTATATATTTAACCTCGTTTCCTACACACCTAGCTTTTGTCGTCACCGCTAGCAGTCGATCGATGATTCTTTAGATAACCGGATTTTCGCATTTTGCGTTGATGCTCCTTGAGTCATTTCTGGGAAACGGTCTTTGTTCGCTATACTTGAAATCGTCCAACCCATAAATGCGATTGCGTTTATTGTACTATTACTGTTTTTTACTATGTCGGATATTTAGGCGGCACATTCTTTCGCTGCTTTCTTTCTCGGCCACTTTCGAAACTTGCCAGCCACAAACAACTGAATCCAGTCGCTGGTGCGACGCATTTGCTAAGACTGTGATAGAGTAGTAAAATGCTTCTGAAAGTGACACTGAGTGACGGTGCTCATTTTTTAGACGTCACTGAAATTTGACTTTTCTTCACTCCGGGTGCAAAGCGTCGTCCTTTGGGCATGAGGTTGGACTGATTGCTGAGGATGCGATAATGCCTGATCCGCCATGTTGGATTTACGAAAGCATTTCAGGCCATTGGCTGTTTAGCGCTTCTGGAACATGAAACTCACTTGGAACTCATTTTCGGTGTATTGTCCAAAGATTCTACTTGTTCTGTTTCTATGGTGCAAGGGCGACTGAATTTCTAATAACTGTTCATAAATAATGTAGTGGAAAACATGAAAATTGGTCGGTATATGGAGTAATACATCATTACGGATATTTCGATCTGGATCGAAGAGAAGCTCCTGATGGAAAAAGGCAGTTATTGTCGCTCGTAACAGCAAAACGGTTATGAACCGTGTGATAAGTGTTCAATTGATACCGCAGGGAGTGAGAACCGAGAACTCAGGGTGTTCAGTCCCTGGTAACAGTTACTCACTTTTCACGAGGTGGCAGGAGACTACACACTATCCTTGCCGCCTTGCTCCTCTCAACTAAATACTCTGTATTTAAATCCAGGCACCCCTGGCATGGTTGGTGGCATGGATAAAGTCAGTGCTCCACCGTGCACGACGAAAAAAGTTTTCATTATCCTCATGAAAAGATGACATGAATGTTCAATTGTAACTTTCAAAATAACTGAGGAACAAGATGGATAAAGACTGATGTCAGAAGCCAGGTTTTCAGTGTTCCACGACAAATTTTGCAAAGTTCACAGGAAGCAAACTGTACACTGTTTATGATTGAAAATTTATTCTTTTAAAAAATCTACTTGCAGCAATATGGCTTAGATTTTGAAGCCGTTTTCTTCGGCCGCAATAAATGCACCTACTTTAATAGCTTCTTGATGATAGATGCGACGATGTGACTGACAAAATCTGGGAAAGATAGCTCTATTACGGCTGTTTCATCCTCTTATTGAGAAGACGAATTTCGTTGACGATGCTGAGGCATATTGACCATTGAGGGGTAGTCCCGGACCAGTACTATACAATCTTCGACTGCTGCTGGCACCAGAACTTAAAGCTTGATTTACTCGAGATTTTGGTCCATGAATGATGCATGGGTAAAGATTTATCGTCCCATAAATCGATGTCTGATATAATATAAAATAGAACTGTGCATATGCGGTTTCATAACTTAATATGAATCCCTTAAAAGCCTCTTAGTATATTGGCTTAAGGTAAACCATATACTTTTCAGTCAGGTCAGACAGGATTGATTTTAAAAGTATTTGGATTAAGATATGGCTGGTGTTAAATGGTTATGACAGAAACAGCTGCGCGAGAGGTTT